ACTATGAAATAGATTACACGATTTAATGGCGTTGCAATAGTTTCAAACTAGTCGAGGAGAGGAATACGATTATCTGTACACTCATTTCATCCATGACGGAGCGTAATGAAGAAGCTCAGAGCAAAAGTGAAATTCACTGAAATTATTTGCGTAGCTGTTCGGCATGGATGACAGGCACTTTCATATCTGCCCTTTCCTTTTACGTCGGCAGACAAATTTCCTCGGATTCGGCTCGCGCGTTGGCAAATTTGGGCAAATTTGCAAAGGAGACAAACTGTTTTCGACGCCAAATTTCCCGTGAAAGTGGACAACGCTTGGGCTAATTGGCACCAGAATGACGTCAGAATAGTTAGAAGAGGTCTACAATTTGTGTACTACTAACGTACCATTACTCATTGAGTAAATACTCTGTGCATTTTTACGTTATTTGATGCTATTTCAGCTTAACTATCCACTTGAATCAGTTCGTTTCAGTCAAGCCTGGTCCCTCTGGAAAGCCCGCGATCCGCCGACCCGAGAAGGCCACAACGGAGAGGCCGTCATCTCCCTTTTGATCCGATCAAGACGCTCCGCCAGGATCCAGTTGACTACACAGGGCCAAATGGGACTGTGCTCCTCTGGGCAGACGCTCTTTTTTCCTTGTGCCCCGGAAGAGCTCACTGCTCAGGCATCGGTGACACGCATCGTGAGGTGAGTCTGACCGGGAACACTTGAAAAATGATGGACAATCAGGGCCTGACTGTTGCACGTCAGTCTGTGACCAAGACACAAGACATCTGATAAGGGCAGTTTGGGTTGGAAACATTTTTACGTAGACAAAGCAGCTAATTCAGTATTCATGCATTATGTACCGCTGGAGATTCTTGTAGATAAAGGCAAACTGTCTAAAGAAGTTTGTCTCTCATATTGTTTAGCACAACTGAGGATAATAGGGCCACCATACAATTCAAGATACAAATCAGGAGTTAATTCCTGACATAGGCGCCCGGCAAAATACGAAAATCTTTTCTTCATCCTAGTGCTGTATCATTCCAGAACATAAGCAATTAATATGCATAGGATCAATGCCTAATCAATGATACAGAGCTTTTCAAGGTCTGTATTTAGTCATGTCGTATTCCGAAGATATAGCAGAGGTCAACTTAAATACCGCCGATCAAATTGAGTATCTGCTCAGTCTGATCAGAGGTGGTGAGAGTGTCGAGGCAGCAGAGCAACTGCAAAAGCCGTGAACAGGATCCTTGAAAGCTCTCGTTAATTGTGTCAAAATTGCTCTAAAATAAAGACGAAAGTTTTTTTAACACAATTTCATTCGCCGATGTTCATACTAAATTTTTATAAATTTCCAGATTAAAGTCTATATGTTCTGTTGAGACTTGTGACAGCAATTTGAATTTACTTTATCTTCCAAAGTAAATGAAGTTTTGAGGCACGCATAATTATATAAACGTCACAACAAATGCAATTAGCATCGTATGGAAAAGTGTGAGACAAAGGTTTCACATAAGCAATTTATTATGTGATATAGAGTTGGCTCACATTTTCCGGGTGTACGCACTAGACAGTCGCAAACGCGTCTTTCTACATATGAGTGTTAAGCTTACTTCCATATCAGGTGAAAGTGCTTAGAGAAACGATTTGAAGGTCTATTCCACCAGAAGACGACGGCGGATTACTCTTGACCAGCTGTCGATTGGCTTTACTGGAACATTCATGTTGACATTGTTTCCTTCGATTCCGGTGAAAACATGCTGAGCTTGTTTTCGTTGAATGAAGAAATGCATCGTTACAATCAAGAAAACTCATTAGCTTGAATTTGGTCGTGACGATGATACCTTGCTCTGATGATGTTCATCATACGACGCACGAAAGCTTAGCACCTTTTCACGGGAATCGAAGGAGATTACCTCGGAAATAGCGTCAGCATGAATGCTCCAGTAAAGCCAATCGACAGCTGGTCAGGAGGAATCCACCTTCGAACTTCTTCACCAAACACCTTCAATCTAAATAGAAGTAAGCTCAACAATTATGAAATAAGGGATTCCTTAAAACCCAACTTTTATTCGCATTTCTCTGTATGCGACTGGGAAACAAATCTTCTTGAACTTCAATGGAAACGAGAAGCCTACTCAGATTAAGGTGGGATAATCCATACACCAGTCATTCATCACTTAATACGAAATAGGGTGAATAGATGGCATACATATGCTTTCTGGGAGACTCTATAGCATACGTATATGTCAAAATACTTCATCCTATGGATGAATGAATAGATAAAAAAAAGCTGATTTGAGATGACTTATTTTGACCTTTATTTGAGTATTATTTCGAATTTGTCTAAAAATATGCAATAAGTGAACCCATACACTTACAAGAACTAGCAGAAGCGGGTTACGAATCCTCTATGCGAACAATCCATTGTTGAAGTCTTTACAACCATTGGAGTACCGTCCCCTGCCCTTGGTCAAGCTTCATTTTCGACGGAGCTGACCATTCAAGGGAGAGGATAAATGAAGTCGTAGCCCCAAATAATCAGCATGGACTGAGCGGATGATTGTCTACTCTCAAAGGTGAGCAGATAACAGTGGGGCTTATCAAGTATGAGATGAGAAGAAGAAGTGTATGTATCCGAAAAACACTAATAAGAGCAATACTACCATGGGCCCGTTGTCAGAAGGATTAAACTTTGCCCTAACAGACAGGAAAAAATTGCTCAAGGGACCAAGTAGTTTAAACAATAAATTCATCGAAGAGACTTGCCAAATAGACTAAAACCAAAAAGAGAACTATAGTTGAGTCCCCTTTTTCAGGCTAGGCAGAAGAGCTAAAGTGGACACATGGGGCCAGTAAAGCAGCTAAGGAACTGAGACTTAATGATCAAATAATAATGAAATCCGATAAGCTGGAAGTTTTATCGATAACTGACAAGATACATGAAAAACTGTCCTGACCTACAGATGGACCCAAGACGTAAAATGAGTTATTAAAGAGTCCTAAAATGAGCGGCAAAACGATACTTCAGGGAGAGTTATAAATGTTATTAAAAATGGGCAATTGAAAAGTTGAAAAATGAAGAAGACCCAATGCGAACAGCCTTCTGAAGGCATACAGACAGCGTGTGTTTGTGAATAAAATTTCATGATTCCCAGTCGAACACTTTGTCGTAATCTCTGGCTCTTAGTGATCAGTTTACATACATAAAACATTAGAATACTCAGAATGGAGAATAGCGACT